GCCTCAAAGCGCGAGGATATCCTAATAACTTCATTGAGAGGTCCCTAACAGGAGTCCACTTCGAGGACAGAAGGCTGGCTCTCCAACATAGGAAAAAGACTCAAACGAAAGTTTTGCCATTTGTCACGACATATCACCCAGAAGTACGTGGCCTAAAAGAAATTTTAATGAATAACTGGGTTGTAATACAAAACCAGCCGTTGCTGAAAAGCATCTATACTAAAACTCCGATTATATCATACAAGACAGGCAAATCTCTAAAAGATACGCTCGTTAGAGCAAAAATTTAATTGAAGGCTAAAATGCATCGCTATCGCAATTCACGAGGGGAGTCCGTGTAGACGTGTCATATCTTTTGTTTTAAGCAACAAACAATGCCAGCGTTTCTTGGACTTTCTGGCCGAGTAAAAACTCCACAAATTCCTAGCATTCCTTTTCATGAATTACTACTGATAAAGCTTGGAAACTTTAGAACAATTGTGTATGTGTTACAATTGATAAATATATTCTTTGTAATGATAATAATAACACATTACTATAGCAGCAGAATAATACATACTTATAACACTAGTTTGCAAAACTTCAGAGCTTAATTTTACGATCAGGCAAGCAGAAAAATTATGCACAAAAATTTAAAACAAATTGAAAAAACTAGAAAAATAGATTTTTTGATAATGAGCCTGCATAAACTCCTCTACTCTCGTTCAACAAAGTTTGGTGCGCTGGCCACACACACATTCTGCTTATCTCCACTCAGGTAGAAAACGTTTTCTTCAATATATATTCCCCGGCCGGAGCGTTACTCAAACGCAAATCTAAAACGACAGTTGATGTGTTTTCAGAGTGAAATCTCCGTTTTCAATTCAAAATCCTTCAGCGTAATGTGGACGAGACCTAAATGCTAAACTTCTTTCCAGGCCTAATGCTGTAATGCCTTATATTTACTAATCAAATGTAAACATTTTTCCTATGTCATGTTTGTATGATTATTGGCTTCGCGTAGCTTCATTCTGATTTTTGGTGTGTTGTTGTTCTCTATTCTTGTTTTTCTTTTAAGCAGACAAATAAAAATCTGAATGGAGCTTGATTATAAGTGAAAGTGCGGCTTCTGTTGTACGCAACCAGGTGAGAAAAAGTCACAAGTTTAGAGTTATTATTATTATTATTATCGCTGACAAGGTCACCAATCAAAACAAAGCATTTTTCCTGCTTTGTTATTTTGATCCTACAGAGTGTATAAAAGGTTTTATGGTCTTCACTGAGTCAGTTTGCTTATAGAGCTGATACTAGAATCGAAACGCTAAGAAAAATAGAAAGACTCATCATGATGGACACTGAGTGTACAATTTGCGAAGCAGAGTTTTGCAACCGGATCAATCAGACTTTTCAGTTGGGATGGCAAGACTATCGTTGTTTTCAGATCGTGGAGCGAGCCACAACCCGCGGGACTCCGAAACTTCTAGACAGCATGGGGTACACATATACCGTGAGAAAACGAGAGGCTAACTCGACCGCTTGGCAGTGTACGGTATCAACAGAGGGTTTCCGCTGCCCGGCTGTACTAACACAATGGAATGATGGCGATTTCACATTCAGCCGAAGAACCCACAACCACCGTTCATCTGTTGCAGCCCTTATAGTGGCCCGGATCGAGTCTCGTGTCAGGGACGAGGCTGCTGCTGATATCTCCAAACCGGCATCGAAGATCGTCAAGCAGTTACTTCATGAGGAATTACCACATGCACCTTGCCCAAGACTGCCACGGCCTAAACGTCTTGAGAAGATGGCAAACCGCTTCCGTGAGAAGTTGCGATTAGACTGTCTTCTCAACGGCGACCGCAAGATGTAGCGTCTTTTAGTGAAGACGATAGCAACAAACGGCTCCATTAGGAGCCACCCAATTTGAAAAAGTCAATGGATGATCCAATGTATATACTGCTTGCTGAGAAAAGAAAAGAAAAGAAAAGGTTTATATCAGAACTTCAATTACAAATTCGGCGCGCAAGGATAGCAAACCACTTCCGTGAGAAGCTAAGACCGGCGGAATGCGTCTGACCTCCTTAAGCTTTTAAAGCAAGTGAGGGAAAACAAATCAACAAATGACTCCTTTAAAGTTGGAAAAAGTAAATGTTTTTTCTTTTTTTGGTTAATGTTTCTAATCGGACAGTGTAATTGGACAGTAAGAGCGCTCTTTCTTAAACAGATGGCCTTGAGCAGATTCCTCGTGCTCTGCCTCTGGTAAAACCAGACTCTATTGCTAAAACGTTTAGTTTTTATTGAGACCTGGCCTTTAATCAATGGTTATGGCCATCAGATTTTCTGACAGTTTTGATTAATTGTTAAAAAGTCTTCATATCGTCCAATTTGTCAATCACTCGGCAGTTTTCGGTTTCTCACTCGTATTATTATACAGGCCGAATTGGACACCACTAGGTCCCATTACCGTTATTTATATAATAATTAAATGAATGCGCGCGCTCTGACTGGTCAATCGGCTATGTGTTTATTGTGCCAGTAAACTCATGGAAATTTCGCGTGTCTTCTGAATTATTATATAAAAACAATAGACCACAAGTTTTTATGGTTTATAAGCTGATAAACCACTTCGGATGTTGGAAGAACACTCGACGAATTCGTAAATCCCTCGCCTACGGCTCGCGATTTAAGAGTTCTTCTCGTAATATATCAAAAACGAGTGCGAGTGTTTCATCGGGGTTTCCAAACACGAGAAAACTAATGAAAGCACGAGGCCATAGGCCGAGTGCTTTTATTGTTTTCGAGTGTTTGGAAACCCCGATGAAACACGAAGCACGAGTTTTTGAAATAGCTTCTCAAACATCCCGCGTGGTTTATTCAGCCCAAAAACCAAAAAACACTTGTGGTCTATTGCTTAAATATCCAAAAAACAATATACATATCAAGATATATCTCAGTGTCAGCGTCTCGTGATCGCTACAGGCCTTCGTATTCGTATGCTCCTGTTTAACGTTCTTCTGAAAATCATCACCGTCGCCATGGATACGAAAATTCATCAAACCGTTTCGTTCGCAGTTCCCGTATTCTTCTGTGAACAATAGGTCTTTGGAATTCCTTGCCTATAAGAAATTTAGCTAAATTTCCTCTCGCAAATGTTGCAGAACATAATTACAGAACCTTACTTACAGAGCCCAAATAGGGACCGGAAAATGTTTTCAAATTTTGTGACCACAGGGGGCATTTAGAAAGGCAAGTAAGAGCTTGCAACTTAAAGCAGTTGTTACCTGTGTTCAATATTTACCTGTTGAATAATTACAACGTCTTCAAAGACAGACAGGCACGCATGACATCCAGTTATCAACAGAACGATACCCTGTAACGAAGCTTTTGCTGACTTCCAAGGAAAATATTGAAAGAGAAAATTCTAACCTGTGCAGTAAGTCAAATTTGTAACAAACCCTTACAACCCTAACAACTAGGTATTATAACAATAGCCCTACATTCGGTAAGCTAATGTCACAAAACTGGATGTGAATAATTCCTAAGTTCTCAATCTTGTTTCTATTCACGTCGCGAAATTCAGTGATGCTAATTTTAAAGTATCAATAAGAAAGCCAAACGTCGACAAAGAATCAAAAGTTTCATATTAGGATCTCTTTTACTTAGATCTAGATCTCCATCAAAGAGAATCTTATTGGAAATTTGAATTGGAGAACGAGTTCTCTGCCAAACCACAGCGACTTCTCTAGTGATGGTAGCAGAAACTGCCTTTTTTTTTTCTTCTTTTTTCAGACCACAAATTTATCTCATACCATTTTAAACCTAAATGGAAAGGTGTGCCATTTGTATTTATTATTGTAATTATTCAGTGAATCAGTCTTTAATTTCAAACAGCAGAGACGCTGAACATAAAAGAATATTTAGCTTGTAGCACGTAAAATTATAAGTTGAAATAACGGATTGGCAATACACCCAGACAGCGAGTGATAGATAAAGATAATATTGAAAGCTGGAAACCTTACAAGAAAGTAAAATTTATTAAACAATTAGCCAATAGTAAAATGCATATTTAACAATTATCTCTCAACGAATAATAAATAAATTATATTTTTAAGATATCCACTCGTGCATATTTTACCAAACTGCACTAGAAATCAAGTGATTACCGCTTTTAATTGTCGGTGTTCGTGTGATGTCATCAATTTTTTTTTTTTTAAATTAGAAATTACCAATCCTTCTGAAGTTTTAGTTTCCTCAGATGTAAGATCCTCTAAAATCTTGTAATTTTTAAGTGTTAAAGCCCGACAGAGCTCTTCACTTTGTAATAGAGAACGTTTGAATTTCCAAGTTTATGCGTTGGGTGACATTAAAATGGCGGCCCGACAAGGCTCTCGCGTAGGTCAAAAGATAAGTTATCGCTTAAGTTTTGCTAACTAAACAGTTCTTGCACTGTACTAGAAGAAGTATCAATTTCAAATTGTCGGAGCTCTAGAGTAATAACTTTACGTTACAATAGCAAAACTCAATGACAGATTTACTGTGACGCATTTGGCCGCCATCTTGGTGCACATGCGGATACCAACATGGCGTCTCCATGAAGAGCGCTATAAATTTGGGTGAAACACTTCTCTCGATCTGAATAAAGAGCGAATGAAAAACCACACAGAACTAAATCTCGGCGAAGTTATTTAAATATCGATTATCTATCATATCTTAGATTCATGACTTAACCCAGTATATCGATACCATTCTTATTTATGATGGCGTGACAGTGATAACTCCCCCGGGGGTGGGGTACTCTCTTACATAGGCTATATAGATATTGTGCGGTCCTAAGAAAATATGGTTTTTCAGCCGTTTTAATCATAAATAGGGTATCCAGTTTGGCCATTTTGGTCATAAATATTGTATGGTTGTTGCACTCTACTGATAGGCTTGAACTGGGTATGTTTTTTTTTTTCAGAAGAAGCTACTTTTTCATTGTTGTCGATAAGACTGTCAACAAAGCCCTTCACGATGCCTTTAACATCGGTCTGAACTACATAACTAATTATAAGGCAGGTATAAAACAGGGTATTGATCAAAGGGTCAGGTCATAAATAGAGTATTAAGTTTTTGGTCAGGTCACAAATAGGGTAGGGAAAATCGCAGACTTTGGTCATAAATGGGGTAGGGGTTTTGGCAAATGGGCCGCACACCTCTACCCAATCAGTTTCTTTGAGTACACCCCCCCCCCCCCACCCACCGAGGAAGAGGGGGAGGGGGTGAAAAACCATGGTAGGTATTTAGGGGTTTACGGTGGTACATTTATGGATTCATCGCTCAATACAACTCTGTATTTTTTTTTATTAAGATTGTGTTCAGGAGAAATCTACCCTGTGTGCAATACAAACACTGCTAGGAACCAAGAACACGGTGCTGGTTAACTGCTGTGATTCATGATGGAAGTAAAATCTCTTAAGTCCATGATCGTTCTCTCTGTTGGATTGTCCGTTTTAGCTATAATTCTCCTTTCATACTGCAGTTCAACATTCACATTGCATAGACTGGATGTAAAGTATGCAGGTAGGAAAACTTTACATCTTTAGGCCTTCAAGAGTACATAGCAAATTCCTATTAGCATCAGTTTAAAGACAGTCAATAACATTTTTTACGATAACTGCAGAAATTCTCGCGCGTTCATTGGCTAATGTTCATTGTCAATAAGCGGACAGACACATAAATTTAAAATTTATGCGATGCGACAATAAGCGAGAGCGGACAATTCGACAATTTGTTATCGTAAAAAACAAATTGACGTCAGTTTTTCCAGCGTCTCTCCTGTTATTGACAATGTATTTCGTCATAACATTGTCAAAACAGTCTACTTTCACAATGTTATGACGAAATTCATGATCAATAACAGGACAGACGCATGAAAAAACTGACGTCGTTTTGTTTTGGGTCTCGTTACCATTGGCCGAGATCTGCAAAAAACGCTCTTGTTAACGCCAATAGTACCGTACGTGTACAACAAAAGGTGCAGGCAGATCCAAACTTCTAGCCTTGGTAGTTATCTTTCTTCCGCGTTACTACAGAATATTCCCTAAGCAAAGTTTAAAGGCAGGGTTGAAATTATAACGACCGCTTCAAAAAAACAAACAATGAAAAAATAGAATGGCGTTAATGAAAACGTGCACTTAAGAACGTCGAGTCACCCAATTCAGGCTTAAAAGAAGCCCAATTTAGGCTAGTTGTAAAGCTATTTAGACTAACATGAGTCGCTTACAGAAACAAACTTATCGTTAGCATTCGATTCCAATCACCCCAGACGGCGTTGCAGGTTTTACTAAAACAAAAAACCAAGTTGATACTTTAGGTACTAAAAAAATTATCTACCTCATGGGTAATATTTTAATTCTTAGACGCCTCAGAAAGACAAATTACCAGGAAAGAGGTATTGAGAGACTACTGTCTAACACACTCATACAAGACAAAACCAGTTGGCATGGACTTAAACTTGATCATTGTGGACGATGAAAACAAGATCATCTACTGTCCAATTCCGAAAGTGAGCTCAACAACGTGGAAACGAGTTTTAGGGGATCTTCGAGGACTCGACAAGAACATAAAAAGGATCCATCGCAGGAATTTGTGGCGATGGTTGTATCAATATACAGAGGAGGAAAGATTACAACGAATTGAAACTTATTTCAAATTTCTCTTCGTTCGGGAACCCCTGCATCGCTTGCTTTCTGCTTACAAAGATAAGTTTATGAGAAGGGATAGGAAATGCAGCGAGGACGCTCGGAACCGAATCGTCAAAGCATACCGCCCACAAGATTATAAACCCAATGGAGACTATAATGACATCAACATCACCTTCGCTGAATTTATTCAGTATTTTTCCAATGATGTGCCGCGGAATGAACATTGGCGACAATACGAACAGCTCTGTCATCCATGTGTTATTAACTACGATTTCATTGGTCATTTAGAGACTTTGGAAGACGACGCACCTCTGCTGTTAAAAATGGTGGGAACTGACGACCGGGTAACTTTCCCGCCAATCCACAAATCTACCGGCTCAGATGAAGTGTTGGAGTACTATTCCCAGGTTCCCATTCGGTACATAACTCGGTTAGGAGAGTTGTACCGCAGTGATTTTGAAATATTTGGTTATGATTATTTGGCTCCGGTACAACCGCTACTCAATAACAGTGAACAAACAACAAGTTTTAAACAGTAACAAAATTGCAATTCCCTTCAATTCCGACTTTAAGCTAGTACGAAAAAGCTCACTAAGTTGAGCTATTTAACGGATAATGTAACGTTACTCATCACAAGCGCTAAAAAAAAAAAAAAA